TGATGAGCGTTGAATGCCAGCAGTGCAAGAGAAAATCGCGAGGAAAAGGCGTATTTGCGAGTTTTGCCGCTGTCTCTCAGACCAAGTGCTGGCGAGAGAAGACGTGGTATGGGAGAGGAATTTTGTCAACTGGATTTCTGTTTAGCATCTTGGATGCGTTCTGCCCCGAGACATTCCGCGCTGGCGATTCATGCCGCCGGACGCAACATGCCCGCCCTGGTGGTCCAAGTCCAGGTTACGGCTGCCAAATAACTTTTACGCGGACCTGGACGCAGACCGGTACGAATCTGCTGCTTTTGACCACCACGCGGAGAATGCCTGGATTCATTGTATATAGCCTGAAGAAAGTCTACAAGACAGCACCAAATCAAATCGATCGCCCGGCAACGGGTGTCGTTTGTAATTCATTGTACATGATCTCCGAGCATCGCAACGGCATCCTCACACCAGCATCGCATCTCGTCGTTACTGTGGCTGATGTTCTCGTGTCTCCTGTATTCGACGGGTGACCTGATGTGTCAATAGGGCCAACTCCAAGGAATGCCACATCCTTCTCGTATCCAGACGGCGCAGCCATCCCGGATCTGTGAGGATATCTGCCGCTGAGTGTGCCTGCCAACCATTCAGCTGGAAAGTCCCTCCACACCATATCGTGAGGGTACTATTCCTGACGACATGACTCCTGCCTGGCAGCCCAGCTGGACGGCACCTCACGCCCCCGGTTCTGCCGCCGTCGACGCTCACTAATGCACGCTTCCAGTTCCAGCCCTCTGTGTTTGACAACGCATGCGATGCATGGACGTCAGCCTGTCGGCATTGCCAGGATGCATTGGTTGCCTTATGCTCGAGTGCCGCCCCGCTTGGCCTCCTCCATGATGCAGATTCCTGCTCACTGCCCTCCCGTGGTTTGTCCATCGCAAAAACTCTCAAGGTTTTGCCACCCGCTACTGCAAGGTGGTGGCCATCAACTGCATCTGCATTCCAGATGGGCCCTTTGGCACCGGCACTTGTGCCTATGAACGGCGATCTATTTGGACTTGTCGCTTGGCTCCCGCTCCTTGGGGCGATGGATCCCGCTTTTCCATGACCTGGAGAAGAATATCCATGTCCGTCCCGAGCCTGACCAGAAGCAATTGCATGCACCTGTCAGTGCAGATCGGGTTAACAGCCTGTCTATCGCTGGATCCTTCTGCTTCTACGGGGCCATCGCACGCGCCCGGGGGTCCTCAAGATAACATCAGAGCCCGACACGGGCCCCTCCAGTACCAAGGAACTTATGCAGGAGCTTGTGCAAGTGCTATCACTACTGGGGTTGGAACCTGCAGCCTCTTCCCACGATCGACCAAGCATCTCTGAGGTCAAGCCCAGATGCCAGACGGACAAGGCGTTTCGCCTGCCCATTGACCCCACCTGGCTGAGAAACAGCTGGTCTGGTCGCCGGTCTACAGACAACGGGGTGCTGCGTAGTTTGTAGCACCACCTGTCAGTTGCTCCCAGACCTCCCTCGTACTGGGGTAGGACGTGTCGTTTCCGTCGCGAGCAGGGCTGCGACACCATCGAAGGATGGAAGTGGTCATTGGTTCACAGGGCGGTGAGTACCCAACAGCTCTCATCTTCTCCATCCATGGTTTCATTCGAACACCACCCCCTCCGTCTGTCCCTCCCTCCATTATCGAGGAGGGGTCAGAGCGATTGTGTCACTGATAACGTGTTGCCCAATCACGTCGACAGAGACACATGGACAGGGTGGATTCCAGTGACTCTCTCTCACCATCAGCCTCCCGTTGTGCAACGTCGATGTGCACCCAAGATTTTCATCCATGTTTCTAAGCGGACTAGAGTAGAGACCCATGGCCTCACAAGTCACGACGTACGAGCACTCGTATTGTACGTACTGCGCTGGTGCTGACCAGCCCTGCCAGCCAGCCCAAACGGTTTGTCACCATCCAGTGCAAAAGGGCGAAGGTCACGATAGTCGCGCGTTGCTCACACATCTTACCTGCCATGGGATACCCAGTCAAGGCGAAACAATCGCCGATGGCTGTGGTCGATGGCGCTGGCCAGGTACCACGTTCTTGTACGGTTTGGCACCCCTACTCGGCGTGACTGGAGGCACCATCATGCATACTGTACGTGAGTACGGAGTACCTATCAGTGAATTATTCAGCCGTGCCTTTGGGAGTTGAACCGATGTACGAGGACTGTAGCTTCGCCGCCCAAAAGCCCCTCCGCTACAAGTTACGTACTGTGATATTCTCGAACATGGAACCTTCACCTGCTGGGACTGTTCGGATGTGCATCGACCCAATCATACCCAGCATGCCCATCCGAAGCGAGCCGCACTAGCTGAAATAGAGTCGCGGCAGATTCAGTTCGGGGGATGGACTGTGCTTCGAAATCTTGTTGTCATGCTCCAGATGGCCAGTCATCGTGCCCAGCGAACCATCAAACCCCCCCGGGACGACGGGGGATATCGTGCTGCTCGAGAAGTTGAAAGAAGGATTGCAACCCTTTCCAGGCTGGATGGCGTCCGCGTACCATTTCCGGCGAGGCGGAACACGACTGCTCGACGCTCCTTTGACTTTGGACAATTGGGGCCTGGATGCTTGGGAATACGGCTGGCAAAGGGCAAATCCGGCCCTAATGCGAATCACACCACGCCCACCACACCACCCAGGCATTTCCACGTCACCTGTGTACGATTGAACGTGCGGCGTTCTCGAGCCATTGAGCATGCAGCGACAGCCTGGTCCAACTATCGGTTTGCACATGGCAAAAATGCCGCAGCCATGGGTCACGAATGGGTCGGTGCAGGTGTGCGTGCCTGCATGGCTGGTGACCAGTCGGTGAATTCATCTTGCACCAGTCCATGAGCTATGCTGATGCCATCATCAAGCAGAACGCACCAGACAGGTCCTCCTCAATGCGCTCAGGTAAGAACCAGAAGCATGCGTTATCGGGGAATTTGCGGCCGACTTTCTCACGATCTTTGAGATACGAACTATGGCACTGGCAGCAGGTTGGAGGCATGAGACAAAGTGACCCTGAGCTAGCTGCTGGGGAGGACTTCAGTCCCATGCTCCAATCTACGGGCAGCGCAGTGTTGGCACATTGGCGTTGTATGGTTAGACTATGCGCAGGTAAGTGCGAAAGAAATCGCTCGGAATCACATCGAACAACCTTGAGCTTGAAGCACCCACGGGCGGTTGGGCAAGCAGGACAGTCTCTCACGTCGCAGGAGGGTGTTCGATGCTAGAGATGCAAGCCTCGAGTTTGTGAAGTCGTGTACCCGAGTCACGGAGAATTCGGAAGAGAAAGCCTGTCAAAGGGATCGCTTCACAGATCTGCCCTTCAAGATGTCCTTACCGAGAGGGATGCAGTCTCAGACTCTGTCTACGACATCACAAAGTCCCCTTCTCTCCATGTCAGGACGATGGATGGCATCACAGGATGTGGTGCGCAAAGGGAGATGAGGACAGCTGGTTGCTGCGACTGGCATCAATACCACCGAGTCAACAGTCGAGGACTGCAACTGTTCTTTGCACGCGCCAACATGACTGCCTGAGAGCGAAGTCGGCGTGAATCGTCAGGCCTGTCTTCGTCGAGGGTCCGAGTCGTCCAGGTAAAGTTGGATTAGATCAAGCTCTACCTTTGTCGATCGATCAACCATCAATTCGCCGCTCGCCAAATCTTGAAGATTGCCAGCCCTGCAAGGGTCTCGTCTGGCTGGTCGATGCCCCGTCGTGTGGATCTTGGAGTCGGTGCACAAGATTCAACCAGGCATCAATGCTTTTTCGCCTCGTGAGCATGTCGTCACGGAATACTGTGGACACACACTGGTGACCGACTTCTGGAAAGTCTCAGTTTCAGTCTCAGTCTCAGTCTGAGCCCCAGCCCTGACGACTTGCGAACTGTATTCTTGTGTGCTTCTGTGCCCTCGTCCAGTACTGCAGCAAGACGACCATCAAGCTGACGCCGGTCAGCTCTCCAGCCGCCGTGCGCGTCCTGCTGACTCTGTGTCGGGGCGCCACACTTTCCGCGTGAGCGCCACTGTCAAGCTTCGCGTCGTCCGAACTCCGTGCTGCGCCTCGCTTCGAGATCCCCTCGCAATCCCTCTCCGGATCCAGTCTAGGCGCACACTGGTCCGCTTTGTCCCTTTCAGCTCTCTGCCTTCTTCTCCGTCCTCATACAATGAGTGTCACTGTGTCAATACACTATAGATTTATTCGCGCATCGTCGCAGTCGCATCTCGCATCGTGTCCAGCCACGAGACTGCTCGGACAACGCGCACAATGAACAGAGTGATTCAGTAAGTGAATGAGCGAGAAGTGAGCAAGTGACATGCCAGTGTGGCTCAGCCAAGTGTTTCCAAGACTGTTATTACGCGTTCGCAGACGCTTTTGCTTGCCGTCTCTTCCACACACGCCCTCCGTACGCGCCATTCAAATGGATGGATGGATGAATGCGTTTGCACGGCACCACATTTGAACTCTGTACTCGTGCTGTGGTTCCGTATCTCTTCATCACTCTTGACCTTTGCCTTTGGCTAGATCTGTTCCCGGCCAACAGCTCGACCTTTACCTTTCCCTTGAGTTGGATCTCGTTCTGATCAACAGCTCGCTGGGTGACAGTCCAACCCCGCTCGGACCTCCGCATACTTTCCCTGTTCACTTACGCGGCGTGCGCAGTCGGACCTCAACTCAAATTTTTACCCTCGGGGACGTGACGGACGGGGAAATCACTCGCTGTTGATTGACCTCTTACGGAGTACTTCCTTCACACATCCTACTTCCGTGATCACCTGAGTCCGCCCTGCCTTCAGATACGTACGGAGTAACGCTAGGAAGGAAAGCCAAACAAGCTTGCTCAACCGAACCACCAGGAATCAGCAGGCAACCTCTCCCCCATCCGTGGGACCTCAACTCTCGATTTCAACCCCAGCACAACCTCGCAAAAGACACAGCAGCCTGACTACACATCCCTTGACAAAAAAGTCAGCAATGGCCGACAAGTTCGATCCCCCGCAATACCCTCCTCCCGCGCACAACCAAGGCTTCCAATCGCCTCCGCCCCAAATGTCCTACGACCCCAACTACCAACAGCAACAACAGTACGAGATGAACCGCGGCGCGAATAATGGCTACTACGGCCCGCCACCGCCGCAGGGATACTACGGAGGACCGGGCTACGGGCCACCACAAGGATGGAACGGCCAGCCGCCGCCGCCGCAGACGGTCGTGTACGAGAGGGAGCGAAGCAGCGGGGGCGGGATTTGTGCCGGGTTATGCGCGGCGTTGGCGTGCTGTTGTTGCTTGGACGCTATCTTTTAAAAAAAAAGGCGGCAGATCAATGATGATCACCGTCGAATCTTGGGGAGGAGGGGAGAGCGCGATGCAAAGCTGCGGGCGTGTTTGTTAACCTGCGCTTCGGATGAGGTGTTTTGTGCGTTATGCTTCGAGCTCTGTGCTTCTGATCAAGGTTCTGCATAGCATAGCGTGGGTTTCTTATGTATGTATGTGTGTATACATGGCTTGATCGTGTGCTCGTGTGGTCGAGTGGCCCCTCGGACGGGTGGTCACTACTCCACGAACACGAATACAAATACAGATTAATTTGAGAATGGAATCCTCTCGGTGTTATACTCCGTAATGTAGCACCATGATACGTCGGGCATTAATCACATCACACTACAGCTCCCATTCTGGCTCAACCCGCCCGCCTCGGTCGTCGTCCTGGCCGCCGTCTTGGTGATGTCCTCGAGCACCTCGAACATCAACTCCCCCGTCAAAGCGCTACACTCGGCGTACCTGTCGCACCGCATCTCCTGGGCAGCCTGCAACCCTTCCTGCGGCATGACGCATTTGAATCTGCCACTGCCACTCTCATCCTCGAGCCTCTCCTCTGTCCGCTCGTCGCGCTTCAACCCCAACAGCATGACCGGCATGGTGTGTTCCAGGTCGTGGTAATGCAAGGAGAGCTGCTTCCGCCAGTAATACTGCGCGTTGTGCAGCGACTCGCGGTGCGGGATGGAAAAGGCGATGATGGCGAACGACGGACGCGGCGGGAACGGGTCGATGAACAGCGTCGACGTCGACGCGTGGATGCGGAACCTGTACGGTCGGCCATATAGCGCCACGTCGAACGTCAACGGGCCCGAGGGCGCGAAGACGCGGTGGTGGTGGTGGTGGTGGTGGCCCGTGGGCACGGCGGACTGGTCGAGCTTGCCATTGCGGATGTGTGGGAGGCGTCTAGAATCACACAAGTGAACCCGTTAAACCCGTTACCCGTTACCCCGTTGATTTGAGCTCAGCTCGGATTAGATACTCGTATGGGTGGGCAGAGGGGCATTGGGCATCGCGCAATTGGCCCTAGCATACGCACATGGGACTGAGGCTGGGACTGGGACTGGATTTGAGACTTACGACAGAAAGGTGGCCTTGCCGACGCCTGGACTGCCGAGGAAGAGAATGTCGACCTCGGGAATGGGCTTGCCTGCGAGGATTTGCGTCGTCATGACGACTCGGACGTGAAGACTCTCGCTCGTAGGAGCTCCATTACAGTACGGAGTACACAGTACGTACAGAGGACTGTGGGAGTAAGTAAGTGTTCGTACGGGGAGGCCGACGAATGATAAGAGACGGGGCCCGAGATCTTGATATCAGCCTTGGCTGGACAAGATCGTCGCTAGGACTCCGTACTCCGTACAAACTTGTCCAGAGCTCACACGCGACTCACCGCGGCGTGCCGCTATAACCACGAGCCGAGTGACAAAAGACATACATTGCTCGTCGTAGATTTTGAAACTGTACTCGAACTAACCGTACGTGACTCCTACTAACTGTATGTGACTCCTACTAACTGTACATAACTTCTACTAACCGTATATAACTCCTACTAACTATACATAACTCCTACTAACCGTACGTGAGGTGAGGCCTTTGACGTTACCCAACACACCATAACATATCTATCCCTTGATTGAGCCACTCCGCTTCGATCTCCTGCATGACATTGCTGTTATCATGCATTGCGTACACCCTGAGGGGCGTTAGGTACCTGACATGGACAATACTATCTACCTCGACGTCCGGCACACATTCGCCTCCTAGACTTCCAATCTCTTCGACAAGGAGCGCGATCTTGAAATTGACGGCCGTGTCATTCGGCCTCGGAACAACACTGAGAATAACCGCCAGTCTTGCATCTGTGCTTATGGACGCTACGAGAGTAGCAAAGTTCTTCCGGTTCTTGTCGACCGGCCAGATGGCAAGCTTGTATCGGTTCTGATACTGGCGGGCCTGGTCCAACTTGACTGAGATGAAAGAGGCCGTGGTGTCTAGTTGGTGAGTTGAGCTGGTGATGCGCCACCCTTTATATCTGACGATCGCGCCCTTGTCGGGAATTCTTCGAACTGGAACCTCACTCTCGTCCACGGGAATATCGCCGCCTATCGTCGCGGGAGCCCACTGCATGCCGAATTCCGGAAATCTCGCATCTTTCGAAAAGATCACGCTTTGAGGGATCGTCGGCGCAGACAGCAGGATCAATTTCAGCTTGGCCAGCCCGACCTCCTCGGCATTTCGGTTATCCTGATCCCTTCTCTGGAGAGCCAACAGCGTCTCTTTGCTTGCTTGGTTGATGATTCCCATGACCAGATATCGATCGCTGGGATAGGACGTGGCGCGGTTTTGCAACTCTCTCCGAGTATTGAAAAAGGTCACCTTCTCCGAGGACGAAACTCTGTTGATCATCAGGCAATTCTGAAGCACTGCGTGGATGTAGTGCTTTTCCATGCCCGCGCAGATCCGCCATTCGGTTCCCTCTCTGCAGGGATACTTCGCTCTCGCCATCTGGTAATTGAGCAGTGCCAGACTGACGAGGCCCCTACCGGATTTGATCATCAAGTTTTGCGCAACTGCCCCTTCGTGCAACGTCCACACCCGGCGAGACCAGCCGCAGAACTTCAATTGCATCCCGAACTCGAGCACCGACGGGATGTCGGCATTCTCGAGAGCAGAGTCCAGAACCAGCACCACCTCTGCCCTCCGATAGATCTCTGACATGGACAGGATAGCCTTGGTGCGCAGCTGCCACATCCGATCGTCAGAACCTCGCGGCACGCAGAAAGTGTCGATCCAAAACAACAGTAGGTTCTCGCCAGGCGCGGTGCAGATGTCCAAATCCCTTTCTTCGTACTGTTGTGCGCATTCTTGGAGCCAGCGCCATTGGCATTCATATAGCTCGTTGCCCGACACGTTTCCACGACCATCGGCCCAAACGTGGCTGTAAGCTAGATAGCGGGTATCGGGGCCCGCTCGCACGACTTCGAAGTCGATGTGGCCGCCGATGCTGTGAGACCGAGGCTTGACTCTCACAAGAGGTATCCCGTCCTGTTCGATGATCTTAAGCATGACATCCCATGCTTCGTGTGGCATCACCTGCGAGCATGTACAGCCATGCTGGACGTGTTTCTGCTCATACTCTTCAGGCTTGATGTTATCGGCCTCACACCGTTCCGGCGTGCAATCCGAATGGTTGCCTCTCTTGTTGATGGTAGGAAGTGCGACTGCCATACACGCGGTAACGAAGCCATGAATGCCCTCGAAATGCTGGGTGTCACTCTTACAAAATCCCAGATTCTCCGCAAGCCGGAGCAGGAAAGGAGGCGTGTACCAATGTCCACCGGCGCGTGCATGATTTTCAGACGCAGACAGACTCAGCTCCGCAGAAATGGCGCCCATGGCATGCGTCAGCGTGTATCCAAGGCAGCACAGGGAAAGCTCGAGATCGTGAGGGAGAAATTCGCGGCCATGCGCTGCCCAGAATTGTGCTCTCTCGTCCTTAGGGTTCCTAGCGGCCTTCTCAATGCGGCCCGACAGCAGTCTGAGAAGGAAGGAAGTCCTCGCGAGAGCGTCCTCTGCATTGTTGATATGCGTGGCAGCACTGACTGGACCAGTGGCCTGCAGCTTGTTTGCACAATCGACCAAATCGCGCTCCAGAGATCTCGTCGTCAGCACAGGACAGTCATCGGGTCTCTGCTCACAGTAATCCTCGATGTCTATTGCCCGCTGAAGGCATTCGTGCAACAAACCCCAGTAGAACCAGGACTGGATGAGGGAGGCATACACAGACGGCAGCCGCTTGAGTAACGAATGGTCTCCGACGAAGAGGCCTTCCGAGATTTCTCTGGAGTCGAAGCCTGCGCGTTCCTCAAACCCGTGGAAGCCTCCACCATCGTAGGGGATCTCATGCCGGAGCCTGATCGGGATGTACTGTTTCAAAATATGGCCGAAGAGGGGGAAGTGATCCATCTCCAGACTTTTCACGTACTGTATCCTAGGCAAGACTTCGTAGGCAGTCGTATCACGGAAGGGAAATCACCTCAAGCATCTACATAGCAACTTGGCGCAGCTGTGAGAGGTTGAGTGCAAAGGGCAGTCCTGTCGTCAGGATTCAGTAGCCAGGATCAACCGCCGCGAAGCATAGGTACAGTCAATCAGTCAAATGGGGTCAACTGGAATCATGAAGCCGCTGTGCTCGTTGCAGCCTTACGATATGTTAAGGCCACAGCCGGCCATGTGACAAACTGGGTGGCTAGGTACTCTACCCCGTACAGGTCAGACGAAACTAACCACCGGATAGATATACTTCATTTTACAGCCGTTCCTTCAAGACGAAGTGACATAATCCTGGATACTCGTGTAGCGTACAAGGCATAGAATAGGCGTAGGTACTCCGTATAATTTTATACTTTTGCTAGCATTAAGAATGTGAGTGGTAGCGAGCAGTACAGTGACTTAGGAGTCCACGGTGTTCCCCGTAAGTACTCCGTTAGGTACTTATCACTAGTTAGGCGTGCCCACTTTGTCGGGCACTTCTGGCCACGCCGCCGAGGTCAGCGCCAACGGCTGCGTGATACGCCGTACTGGGTACGTCATTTTACTTGAAGCAGCAGCCACCCAGCAGCCAACCAGCAGATTCTCTCTTACGCGTCCCTGGAATCGCGCAGCCTGCGACTTCCGACCTCTTCCTCGTCGTCTTCAAATCCCTTGATGCCGGTGACACAGTTTGCGCAGATAAAGCCAGGACTACTCGTTTCAATTGTCCTCAAAGCGGACCAGCGAACAGGTAGACAAGTCCAGGGCACGGTCTCCCAACTTCTCACCCGCCATAATCATCCGCGAGGCATCAAAGTGAAGCTGACAGACGGCCGAGTCGGGCGTGTGCAGCAGATCCTCCCTCAGACACAGCACAACATGTCGTCCAACAATAACCCGTGGTCGAACACCGAGAGCAGCGGGAATCCTTACACCTCTCCGACGTCCCAGCAAAACCAAGGGGCCGCTCAAGGGTACTACCAATCCAATCCCTCGCAATATCAGTCACAGCCACAGTCACATGGACATCAACAGCCACAGCAACAGTCGCACAACACTGCTCCGTCGCAAGGCATTCACCGCTCTGACACCGAACAGCTGCTGGCACAGCAGGGCGATCGCGCAGCACAAGTCGAGCACATGCAGCAGTACGAGGCAAACGCTCCCCAATCAGAAGATGATCGCATTCAAGCGCAGCTGCAGAAAGAGTTTCCCAACATTGACAGCAGTTTGATCGCTGCGATCTACGGTGAGAGGAAGGGACAGGGTGATCTGGGGGAGGTGAGGGAGTTATTACAAGAGTTGAATACGAGTTGATTGAGAGTGCTCAGCCGCATGGGGGAAGCTCAAGAAAGTGGTTTGAAGAGACCCTTGTTGAAACTGCGGGTGAGGGTGTGGGCGAGCTGGGGCGTGCGTTCCTATAGCGAGCGGTGCTTGCGGATAGAGGCGATCTGATACCGAGAGCTAGTGCATGCTGCATGCAGCCTCAACTCTCTGCGTGGTCCGTATTGAATCACACTTCAGTCTGCTGCTGTCAATGCTGTCTCACTTGCCTTTTCTTGGCCAGCAGGTACGAGGACGATTAGGCGCGAGCCGCCACGCAACAGGGAACATTGGTGCTGTCGCAGAACCCAATACAAGATGTGACGGTCTAGTTCATCAGCTTTGGCTCCACGGTTTCCACGTGGAGAGTGTCTAGGTTTGATGAGCAAAGCTCAAGAAATGGAGCATCAGCAGACGTCACACGGCTTATCATGCTGCTCGGCCGAAGTCGCTAAGCATGGCTCGAATCACAGATTGAAATACCTCACCCGTGCCATGACAAACAGACACTAGCCTGCCTCCTAACTTTGATTCTTCAGCTTACCTTCGCAGCCCGGTGAACGACTCGAATTGGCCCCATCATGGGATGCCATCGGTCATGTCTTTCACTTGCCCGTTCAGCCTCGTGTACTGACTTCTGAAGTACTGAAACGCCTCGGACACCGAAGACGGATGGCGATGGCCATCACGAAGGATGCGCACCGAAGGGCATTGCACCGGTCGGCGATCTGATAAGGCTGAGATATGATGACGTCGATCAGCCAATCGCACTGATTCATTCACCCTCCTCCCCGCCTTTATGGCCGCGCTCAGTGCCCCAGGCGGACGAATACTCGTACTCCCAACGGTGCTTATATAGTTGTGGCCATTCGAACCTGTCTCGGACCTGGGAGGCCACATTCTCGTCGTCACCAAAAGGAACCAAGCACCACTGATCCCCCACCATGGCACGCTCCTGTTCACTACTCAAGAATGAGCCACATCGACTCCTGTGCCTCGGCGCACACTACGACATGGCGCTCAAGCTCCAACAGAAGCTCGTCCCTCACTTTGTCTACTGCGCGATTCTGACCAAGATCGAACCCAAAAAGACATACTCGCTCGAAAACTTCGAACTCATGCTCGATGCCATCTACCCTCCCCCCGAGGGCGTCATCGTCGGCGGAGGTTTCAGCGAGGATGAAGGCGAGGAGATGCGCCGCATGGTGGCCACGCGGAAGGACGAAAACGGCGAGCCCATGAAGTTCGTCAAGGTGCCCACGGGCACGCTCGAGCAGAGTGGGCCGGAGGGGCTGGTCAACACGATTCGCGAGCTGTTGGGCAATGCCTTTGGGGTCGAATGGTGAGGAAAGCCGACGGGGGTGACGGCACTGGACATTGACGCTGAGGGTTTTTTCTTGATACATCAGGAATGTGTACAATACCGGCGGCTCGGAATCGAAGCTGTAATGGCTTGAGCACGGCGAAATGCACTCGTTTTCGGGAACGAGCGCTTCTCAGACTGCCAGGATCTACGGCGACCGATGGTGTATGGTTCATGGGACTGTCTATCGGGATTCACTGTGTACTGCATGTATTGCATGTATAACAAGTCGGCATGGTTAATGTTCTAAACCTCCACGTAGCGTCGCGCCACGTGTATCCTGGCGTGGCTGCAGAGAATGCCCCCCCTTGGCATTGGTGTCCTTGGCATTGGTGTCCCTGGCATTGGTGTCCCTGGCATTGGTGTCCCTGGCATTGGTGTCCCTGGCATTGGTGTCCCTGGCATTGGTGTCCCTGGCA